TATTAACTGTTAGCCCTGTCTGTGATGTTTAAACACTGCAAAATAAAAACATCTGGGGCTATGACCACTAATAAAGTAATTTGGAAAATTAAATGAAGTGATACTATTCTCATTAACAGCATTTTAACTGTCACTTCTTCATACAAAGTATAGTTACCCCTACTGCATCCCCTCCTCCACTGTAGCTCTTGATTTTGCTCCTGAGTTTTAATCTCTCCCCTTACTTCTTATGCATCTGGAATCTTTGATCACTTTATTTTCTAATGTTCAACCCGCACTTTGCTTTCCATCCCAATCCTGTCTTCCTTCCCTAAACAACCCAGTCATTCATGAAGAACAATCACAGTAGTATTGCAGATTTGTTCAACAAAAATATGATAATTTAATCCCTCTCCCTTAGCATATTTACCTGTCATTATCTTATCTTCAGTCAGATTCCTCTTCTGTTCCCTGTCCTGGGCTATCAAAAACTTTTGACACTTTCTTCAATTGTCTACCTCATGTTCCAATGAAGTCTCAGAAGATGATCTGAATTTACACTCCACAGCAAATTAAGACAATTACAGAGAAATGCCACTTCTTGCCCACTCCTAGACAGTAAGAAATTACTGTCTGAGCCCACATCTTTTCTTTCTTACTTGAAAGAGGTATTGGGAGCCATTCTATATAATTTTCAGGGCAAATCATTCCATAATTAAAGTATGACTATAGCTGGCAAAGGCCCAATGTTGCTTTGCCTTTGAGACCTGGGCGGGGGCGGGGGGGTGTATGTCCTATGGAAACAAAACTCTGTCTTGCCTCCAGTCACAGCTGAGATCTCAATAGTCCCGTGATGCTGTCACACTCAAGGGAAAGATTAAGATCAGCTGAAGACATCCTGGTTCCTTGAGAACTGAGTAGTAAGAGAAACATTTCACTTGGGGAGGAACAGATTCCTCATCAGCTTATCGCCTTCCACCTACTGTTGTTAAGAAAACTCTCCTTACAGCCTTCATCAACACTGGAACCTTGTGACCTAAGATCCTCATCAGCATAAGATCCCTATTGACATAAGATCACCTCTACCCCCTAAGTCACCCGATGCTCCCTCCAATTACTGTGTGTACCCAATAAATAGTGGCAAGCTTAGAGAGTCCCTGTCTTTGGCCATTCTGAGGCGCTGACCTCCCGGCCCCCAAATACTATGAAATTACACAAGTCTCTGTTGTCTTTTTTTCTTCAGCCCTTCCGGCCCCCTTTCTAGGCAGATGGAGGATTGATCGATAAAGAGGCATCTATCTTCCTTTCTAAAGCATTCCATCTTGAATATTTTTAGTATCAGCTCTTCTAGAACTGGATGTGATTGTTCCATTAGTCATCCTTTCTGACACTGTTCTCCAACCTCTTCTGCTCCACTAGTTAAACCCCATCAAGCTAAAATCTCTAATGTTAAAAAGAAAAATCCTTGACTCTGCATGCATGCCTTCTCTAGTTCCATCCACTCTGTCTCTATTCAGAATTTCAGTAAGGACTAATGTAAACTCAGTCACTACTTCATACTCCTTTTATGCAATGTAATTAGCTTTCTATCATTAATATTTGTCTTGCTTTTCAGTCTTCTGTACATTTTTTATTTGCTTGCCTTCAGAAAATGATTTTCCTGAGTTTCAGTCTCCATTCTCTTCTCATTCTATGCCCTTCTAATTTCTTACATATACAAAGATGTAATATACAAGATTTATATATACAAAGATTTAATTAAGAAATAGTGAGTTTTTTTAAATCATTAAAGGAAATGACCCAATATTGCCATTAACCCCTCCCTATCAAAACACCACCTCCCTCCCACTGAAACCATGTTTATCCCAGAGTTCCTGTCACCTTATGAAGTAGTTCTGAATGTCCTCTCTGGGTATGATCAAAAATACAGTGATGCTGCTGCTCACTGCCAGCCAGTGGAAAGGCAGGCTCATAAAAACATTTCCTTGAGGGGCTGGGGATTTAGCTCAGTGGTTCCATCCGCCTACCTCCAAAGTGCAAGGTCCAGAGTTCGATCCCCAGTACCAAAAAAAAAAAAAATTCCCTTGTGTCCTCATCTGCCTATTTCACTGGATCTAGCAGTGGATCTAGCAACTTCTGGCTCTTCCCTAAAGTCAAAATGACTATGAAAGGTAAACATTTTGAATAGATTCAGGACACCAAAGGATTTCTAAAACTACTTCAGAAAGTGGCCACAATGATGGGATAAGTAAGTTTTCTTATTTAAACAACATATTTCTTGCATATATCCAAGTGCCTATGCGATTTCTACCTGCCTGTCCCTGAGACATCTCAAGTTGACTCAATATTTCTTGTTTCTCCCTAATCTTCACAGATTTATCTCATCTAGTGATACCAAAGTTTACCAAACTACTCAGTAACTGGAGGGTCATTCTAGAATCTGTTTCCTTCATCACTGTTCTATATCTAAGCCCCAGAAATTCTTTAAATTTGATCCCTGAATTTATCTCATCATTTCACACACTGATAACTACTGTTTAAAGTTTTCATCATCTCTCTTGGATTACTGCAGCCTTCCTTCCCCTAACCTAGTTCCATGTTCTAGTGTCAGTTTCTCAAATTCCTTCTCTGTATAACTTATAAATAATTTACTGCAAATAAATCAGATCATAACTTCTGGTTTCTTATTGAGAGCCCTTCATCAGCTCTTTCATCATTTCCCAAGACCTTGTATGATCTGAATCTCATTCCTCTATCACTACAACCCTCGCTCTATTTTAAGAAAACAGCAAAACAATAGCAATGTTTTGAACTCTCTTGAACACATCCCTGGTGTGATCTGAGGTAATTTTCCTTGTGCATTTTGTTCCTTGGCTTATCATGGCCTTACCTTAATGCACACATCAGATAAATTCTTTTTCAACACTGAAATGCAGCACTAGCATCTCTTTTCTAAAATCTTGTTTTTTTCCTTTATTTTAACTGTTTTGCAGCAATTTGTACCACAGACAGTGAATCTCATCTTCCTTCGTTGAGGCCATCACTGCACTCTGTACTTGTTCCTATTAGTCTATTTCAAAACATTATATAGGTTACTCTGCTAAAAAGATTTCTCAGAATTTATATTTTTCATAATTGCATACACAAATTATTTATGAAGATAGCCACTACATTTGAAACATTACCATGAAGGCATTTTGAAGGCAAATATAGAAACATGTTTTATAAATTTTGAAAAAAAAAGCCAGGAATTTTTAATCAGAATTAATTTCTATTCTAGTCAAAGAAAAAAAATCTAGACTCCAAAGAAAACAGGAAAAAATTCTCCAAAAATATACAGAAGTTAAGAGCATAGAGTTGAATTTTGTCAGAATACAGATTAGAAACCTAGCACAGTGCCTGAATATAACTGTTATAGTCCTAAAATTTAACTGCTGAGACAGGAGAGAACAAGAGGGCCCTTTAGAGTCTGGCAGGTTGAATAAACCCAGTGGTGCTATCCTCCCCACTGAGCACAGCAAAGTCAGACAGTTCCAACTCAGGGACTCCTGGAAGCCTCAAAGAGAATGGGGTAAACTTTAACTGTCATGCATGGTGCGCCACCCCCCCCACCCCCCACCCTCACCGGGGCCAGCAGGGGCAGGACACCAGGAAGAGAAGAGGTTTCCCTAGACAGACACCAACTAAACAGAACAGGCGGCCTGATCCTCCCACTTACTAGGGGAGGTCTGCACACAGAACAGTCAGGCTGTACTCTGGCGGGTGGGGAGGAAGACCCAGCAAGGCCAGGTTGAGAAGGGGAGAGGAAGGAAAAACCAGTTCTGTGGCAATGATGTGGAGCCAAGTCAGGGAACAACAGGGCCCCTGGGCGACTGTGTGACCCAGGGGAGCCAGGAGAGAAATCACACCCCCTTGCTGTTTCCATGGGTGGGGCTTCTCGGCCTCGTAACAGACAGGAGCATAAGCAGAGGGAAGACCTGGAGGTCCACAGCTTTACTTAACTCCAGGTCCATCAAGGTCATGGGGTCCACAGAGGGTGGCAGGGGGAAAGTGTCTGAAGCTCAGAATGTCCAGAGCCCTCTTAGGACACAAAATAGGCGAGAGGAACACCCCAGCGGGCTTCCAAGAGGCAACTGTCTGGCTCACAGAGGGAAACTACGTGGCTAACGGAAACCAGGCAGATACCAGTGTAAAGGAAGCCACACTGCAGCTCTGGTTAATCTTATGAAAAGTATGTAGAAGTTTTAATACTACTTTGCTATAAAGAAGGATATAGTAGAATATTTGGTAGGAAAACAGATGCACCTTGAAAACATAATGTTAAGTGAACTAAATCAGACACCGAAGCTTAAATATCACATGGTTTCTCTCATATGAGAAATCAAAAGTCTAAATAAAGATCAAAATAAAAGATAAAAGGAAACATGGAGATAGATGGGAAGGGGACCAAGAGATGAAAGAAGGGGGAAAGGTGGGGGGGTGGATAGAAGAGGCTATAAAAACCAGAAGATGTGCTGTGTAAATGTACCAAATAACCACAATGAATGCAGTGATCACAAACATGAACAAATAAGTCAACTGAAATTTAAAGAAGAAAAAGTTAACTGTGATTGTAATTCACTGTATTAGTATTAACTAAAGTGAACAGACGTGTCTGGATTAAAAGTTATTCTAGGTCATAGGTAATTTTGGTCTCAGTACTAGCAATGTACATTCCATCAAACTCTGAAGTATTTTAAGAAAAAAATCATTTAAGTGATTTGTTATACTAATAAATGTGATATATAATAACTAGCTTTTTACTTTGAAGTAAACAGGTAATTTGTAATAGTTCATTCCTTGATTGAAATTATTCCATCACCAAGAAATTCTGTTAGAAACTTATCAACTTCTACTTGCTAAAAGTTCCTTTGTTACCACACATTAAAACAAATGCATCCAATGATTAACAGAGCACAATGCACAGCAGTTCTTTTCTTACCAAATTATAAATGCTAAGATAGCTGATAAAGGTGCTTTACCTTCAGGGGCATCTGCGTCACATCTCTTTGGCACAGAAAGGGTTGAATTGCTTTTGTGATCATCAGAAGTTACATTGCTCTGAATGATGAAAATACAGTTAAAATGTAAACGTTACACTAGTAAGTATATTTGGATTAAAGTATTCACATTATGAACTTTATACTGTTTTCTATTAACTACATGTAATATTCTAAAAGGTAAATTTAATGCAAATTCTCATCAGAAGAAAATGAAGTATGGTAATTTAATATGAGGCTTTTGGGAATAATCTTTTAGGTCCAACATTAAATAACAGAGATCTTTCCTAGAACACACTTCTAGTCCAAAGATGGCATCTAAAAAGAAATGGAGTACTTATCATTAGACCATGAACAGGCAAAGACTATCTCTTGTCCTTGCAAAAGCATAATCTGCCTTTATTTATAAAAAAAGGTGTATTAACCATAACACAGTGAGTGAGCTAGGTACAGGGGATGAAGCGGGAGAGAATCAGAGGCTAACGGAAGTGAGAAATGGTTCGGGTCTCCAGCAGGTGCTGCCCATGCTCCAGTCACTCATGCACCTCCAGGCACATGCACGCATGACCTGGGCTTTCTCTGCCCCACTTGCAGTATCAATTACCTAATATTTTTCGGTGAGCTGGCTTTTCAACATTTAGCAGTATTGTGGTACTGACTGAGGGTTTGACGTGCTTGCTAATTTTTTTCTAATTACATGTTAAATTAAAAGAGAATGGCAGAAGTATAGGTCAAATGGAGTGTCCTGGGCAGAGAGGAATGGTGCAAGATTCCACTAAAGCAATGCTTGAACTAGGGCCTGAAACATGAATGTGATGTGAATTCTTGAGAAGCAGAGCAAGAAGCATTTGAGGAAAAGGAAACAAACTAATCAAAGGTTAAACCAGATATGTTAAAATATTGTAAACTGTCAGAAAATCCAAATGTCTTGTTCAATTAAAGCTAAAAAGTTGGCTTTGGAGCAATCAACATTAAAGAATGAGTGGAACAGATAAGAAGACAACAATCCTGCTGAAAAAAGAAAAACCCAGCTACATACACACACACAAAATACTCAGAACACCATTCTATAGGATTCGTAGTAGCAATGAAGAGAAACAACTGTTCAACAACACTTTTTTGGAAGTCATATTATTAAAATTATTTGAAGCAGTGTTTTAGAGGAGGCATTATGAGTTTTAATAAAGTACTAAAATAAAGCCCAACAGCTTACTGCCAGAGGATCCATTCAAGGAAAAATTATAATGAAATTCTGTGTGCTATTTTTAAAAAGTATGAAGCAAATATTAAATATGCTCAAAAATTGAACAAAAACCCAATTTTAGCAATATTAAATTTAATCTGATGAGTTAATATGCTAGCCACCAAAATTAAGATTTACCTTCAATATCACTATCTTAAAATATAAAAATGATCAAATTTTAAATACAGTACTTACCTCTATTAAGTAATTTTGACTTCCATACATAACATACTGAGGAGCAAGACTATAAATCATGTAGCTCGTGTGCAGTACAATCAGCAGAAGTATCATGCAGAGAAATAGGAGTGCCTGAGGCCTGGTTCTGCCCCTTCTGATTTTATATAACTGCAAAGAAGGAAAGGACAAAAGTTCAGCAATATGTTTTATTTGCAAAGCATTCTGTTTTTGTGTGATGGGGAATGATTTCTACAGCTCAATCAACCATTTCTTTGACACAAAGTAAATACTAAGAATTCTTAAGAATGAAAAAGACAATTTTTCCCCTATGAAGCTTTTAGATTTAACTTTAAAGACAATGGAACAGCAACTGTATCCAAACTATACTGTAAGTGAGCCATTAAAAACCAAGGACTAGGGGGCTGGGGATTTAGCTCAGTGGTTCTGGCGTCTGCCTTGCAAGCGCAAGGTCCCCAGTTTGATCCTCGGTACCAAAAAAAAAAAAAAAAAAAAACAGCTTTGTCATCAAAATGAAGCTTTTAAGACATAAAAACCAAGGGCCCAGAGAATTTATTAGTGTTCACAAAGTCTGCTTCCAGAAAACCCTTCCAAACTTACTGCGTAATAGCATTTATAAGAAGCTCCCAGAGCTGAGACTTGTGAACTACCCCTATTTCTATCTACAGGTTATGAGTTTAAACTGTATGAGTGATGTATTTATGGCTTTATATTACTACCAAGAAAAGTTGTTACATGCTCGTAAATATTCATTTCTATAAAATTCCCTAATGTCCTGAAAATTTAATTATTAAAATTTAGACTATGATATAGATATTTTCACAAGTATCTACAATAAGGAAATTAAAACAAATGCTAATTTTAATGTAAAGAACCGGGTGACTGACTTCATGTTAACAGGGAACCACACTTCCACTTTAGCAATTTAGGTACCACCCACCCCTGTCATCTTACTAGATTACAGAATGGTACAGACTAACAGAATTCCAATTCTGGATGAGATGACAGTAAGATCACTTAAAGATGTGTATTTCCCAGCTTTTCGTAAACCTACCAGTGGTCCTGTAATGAAACACTAATCATGGAAAGGAAAGCGAGGGATTTATGGGGATGTCTTGCCTCACTGATACAAATGTCTGCCTCTTACTTCCATATATTTTTCTTCTACAGAACATAGACCGGAAAAGTGCAGCTGCAGCAGCCATGAGAAAAAGACTCCAAAAATTTAGAGATGTGGCCCCAACACTTCTGAGCTATTAAAATAATGCTAGATTCTTCCCCCCATACCAAAATATCTTTCATTAGTTCAAACTCCTACTTCATTTAATTTTCTTTTATTCACAGCTAGAAGTAGTGTCTACCTGATTTGGCTTCATAGAAGGGACTGGAGCAGGGGGCACTAAATTCCTCAGTGGTAGACCTAAATGTGCTGCTAGGAGCCAGGGCCTGGTCAGGAGAAGGGTGTCACCAGGGGTATGTTGCTGGAGGGCACAGCGTGCCTCCCCAGCTCTCTCTTCTCCCTTCTTCTCTCTCCCTCTCCATGTCTCTGTCTCGGTCTCCCCCGCTTTTGGCTGTCATGAGGTGAGCACCTCTCCTCCACCAGGCCCTTCCACCATACTGCTTCTGCCTCGGAGCCAGGTGACCATGGACTGAATTCCCCTGAAAACCATGGCCAAATTAAACCTCCCTTCTTCTAAGTTGTAGGTGTCAGGTATTTCACTCCAGCAACAGGAAAGCTGACCAAGACACACAGAGTTGGCCCTGGTACTCCTGAGGGACTGATCCCAGGACTCACTATCACTGTGATGCCAAACCTGAAGATGTTCCAGTCCATTACAAGAACGGTGCTGTATCTGCACATAACCTATGCACATCCTCCTGTGTAATTTAAGTAATCTCTGAATTACTTGTAACAACTAACACAAACACTGGTAAATAGTTGTTAGGCTATGCTGTTCAGGAAATAATGACAAGGAAAAACATCTGTACATGTGCAGTCCCACCATGAGTTTTTTCAAATGTTCTTCTGTCCATGGATGGTTAAATCCACAGATGTGGAGCCCACAGATGCAGAAGGGTGACTGTAGTAATCTTTACTTTCTAAAATGGAGGGCTATCTTTTGAGATTCAGTGGATCCACTGTGATACATGGTGTTCTCAAGCAGCCATACACTGAAGAAAATAATGTCTTCTAGATAAGGGTTTATTAACTTTGGCACTGTTGATTTAGACTGGCTTAGTCTTTGTCCCATACACTACAGGATTTCTACAGCATTTCTGGCCCCTATTCAGGAGATGCCAATAGCACTCCATAGTCACAACAATTAAAAATGTCTGAGGACAGGGGACAAATTACTTCTGTTCAAGATGCACTTCTACATTACTGCAATGTGAAAGAGCTAATACTCTCCCCAACCCCGGTACCAGGGATCAAATTCAGGACCTTGGGCTTGCCAGGCAGGGACAATGCCACTGAGCTACACCCCCGGCCTGAAAGAGCTAATATTCTTATCATGCTTGATATCAAAACATAATGTGTATTCCTAAATATAAGGTAATTTGCAATAATGGAGATCATATACAAAATGAAAAAAGCCAAAACAATAATGGAATATATACTTACTCTAACCCAAAAGAACCATATGCCAATATTTCGAATTCCTGCCATTGAAGTAAAAATGAAGTACATAATAATAATTGTTATAAGAATATAATCAAGAGGAAAAACCTGGAAAAAGATAAAATCAAATTTAATGTGTAAATTATGAAAGCCCCAGAAGCAATAAAAATTAATTGAAAATTTCATTATTTATATTTAACAAATGTTTAAAATATCCCTGATTTAGATTAGGCTACTGTGATAATACCATTAAAAACAGAAAATTCCTCAAAAGTCCTCAAACTATTATCAAATCATGTAGTACAATTATCCTATGAAAAATCCTGACACAAATTCAACTACAAGTTACATTTATATATGAAAAGAATTAAAAATGAAAATTGGCAAATTTCATCTTATATAACATATGAAATAAAATTATTTTTAACTAAAAGTCTAGCAACATATTAATCTTTAAAGCAACATATCAATGTAGAAATTATCTACAGATCAAAAGTCATATTAGCAAACAGCACAAACATATGTCAAGGAGTAGAAAGCTCGCAGCATAAGAATTGTAAATGGAAGAAAGTGTCAGAAGGCTTGCTATACTACAAAATGACTGATATGTACTTACTGTTTGTAGTACAGGCAAAAGCATATTCAGTGGATTACTCAGGTTAGTTCCAAAAATTATGAAGCCAGAATCAATTCCAGCTGAATGGAGAGCTTTATCTAAACTAAACAAAAATATACAGAGTGATTCTATGTTATACTATCACATTTCCAGTCAATCTAGAAAGAATATCAAACTCACCATACAAATGCAGTTGATCAAAGAAAACCAAGAAAAACCAATCAAACCCCACAGGTATTGTTCAATTAATAGAGAAGAAAGAAAACCTATTATTGGACCTTTAAGTCGATCTTTTCTTAATGCTGTAGAACACTTTAGGTGGAATAGCTATTTAAGATGAACTGGCTAATGGAATACAGCACCAAAAATGAGTAATATTATAGAATTTGTGTAAGTGCTTTAGAAAATGTGTCTGTTGTACTTACTTTGACAGGAAGAGAGAAATTACAAACAGCAATGCAACTAAGATGAAAAATATTCCCCAAATGATCTAAAAGCAAAAATATATTCATTACAATATAGTTCTAAAAGTTGATATTAAAAGCACAAAACCATTTTGCTCAATATGAGCTGCTAGCATGTAACCATTTTCTAACTAAAGTGATCCAAGTTACATTTTAATTTAGTATAGATTCCCAACCATTTGCACCTAAATTTCCAATATGAATTGAGACTATCTGGTTGAGAATCAATACACAAGAGACAAAGCATTTAAAAAATTTTCACTAATAAATAAATAAAACTTTTTTGATCAAATACAACGTTGTTATTCTATTACACTGAAATATAAACTTCAACACTAACTGAAAAGTATTTAACACTAACATATACAGAACACACACACACACACACCACCCCAAGAAACCTATCAGGTTATATTTCCCTGTTAATTAAAACAGGGAAATAGGGACTAGGAAACATTTTTCAACTGAAGTAACACTATATATAGTAGTTAAATTATATCACAGCTAAGAAAAGTCTATATAAATGAAACTACTCCTGAAGCATTGAAGTAGCCACCAATGTTTCTGTAGGTGAACGTGTTAAGTACTATAACTGTTTTTTTTTTCCTACTATATCAATTTATTATTAGGGATGTTAAAAAAAAGATATTGGAAATGAGTTTCTAAGAAACTGTGTCCAAAAAAAAGCTAAAATTTATAGTGGCAATAGCGTAGGTTTCATCTCCTAGTATCCTCCCCAAGTTTCAAGGACAAGTGGGCTACATAATAGGCAAGTGAGAGAAAAAGAGAGTCATACTAACACAGAGTAAGTGCTTTAGGCTTCTCCTTTGCCTGGAACTGACAGAACTGGATGAATAAAATCATGAATGTTAGAGAGGCTGCTATCTTCACACAACTGCTGAACTATATTTCAAATGGTAAGGGGATAAAAGAAGTAAAATAACCACGTCATCCAACCTGGCATATAACAATCTTTGGAAGCAATGTTAAATCTTTGTTCGGTGAATTTCTCATTTTGGACAGAGTGACTTTCCCTTGTTGGGAAGGACACAGTTGGCAAGAAGGAGCCTACAGCCATCTCTTGAACTAGCATTTACAGTGATAGCATAGTAATTCTGCCTTTATTTATCTTATATACTGAGATTCTACATGAGAATTCATCATTTATAAAGTGTTTCATTGATAAATAAATTGGAAATGATTTCTTTATAGTAATAAATGTTGATTAGTAGAGGGCATATAGGAGTTACGCATTCTTTGGGCACTTACATTTGACACTTAGGTAAGATAGAGGGCAATAGCCTCATACTGAGGATCAACAAGTGAAACATAGTACTTCCTAATTGTTTTTTAATACAAAATAGCTTGTATCATGAGGCAGTATAATTGCCAAACTCCAATTAATAGTTGAGAAACATGACACAGAAACAGCACTTGAAGTTAAGATTCTCTTTCCTTGATTGTGCATTTTGTCAAAAAATTAAAATTACAAAAGATCCTCAGCTCTATTTCCAATTGTTGGGATGAATGACCCAGAGTAAGACTGCTTGCTTAGCTGCTTAACAGGATACAGAATAAATGTAAATAATATATATACTTTATAAAGACCAAGAAAACTGCATATATTTAAATACAAGAACTGAAATTAGCACTTCAAGCATTGTACCAATGATGATACTAAATCTAGTTACTACATCAGTTTTGCAGATAACTGTCTTTTCCCCTTCCCTTCCCTTCCCTTTTTTTATTTTTTCTTTTCTTTTGCTGGGAAATGAACCCAGGGCCTTATGCATGCTAGGTAAGCACTCTGCCACTGAGCAATACCCCCAGCTATGATGTCAACCTTGAAATAAAAATGAAGCTATAAAGGTGACACCAGTAAAAATAGTGAAATAAGAACCTCTGAAAAAAACTTCTCCTTCAAAAAACAGTAAGAAAAAGATCAGAATCAAATTTCAACACTCTGAAAATTAACCAAAGTCACACAACAATCCAGGAGCATTTGTTCAAGAAAACGAAACAAGGTTATGAACACAGAGCACTGTAGCATTTTAACTTGCTCTGGTCTAAATTCTGCCTCTCTAAACCCATGGTAGCCTTGAAAAACTAGTCAGAAAAGCCACCAGCCCAGGAGCCACATAAGGAAGCAAAAGGGGGTCAAAGTTCCTCTAAAAGCTCATGCCCAGAGAACTGTCATTGCCTGACTGCCTGCTGGTTCTCGGAAGGTCCCCTTGCAAGACTGTCTGCATTTGACCTGAACTGGCACTCGTATCGCGCTAAAAGCCTTTTCCCAGGAGTGTTGTCAGAAAAAAATAAAAGCAATATGAACTTCTTGTCCTCAAGGCCCAGTGGACAACAGACAAAATTAAATTAAGCAAAAGCTTATAACAAAAGCCTAAGAAATGAGCTATCCATAGAGGTTGTGAAAAGGTCTGACTAATTCTGGAAACAGGGAAAATGTTGTGTACGCTCAGGGATGTGTGCAGGATCCACAAAGGCAGTTCTGCTGAAGCAGTGATGGACACACACAGAACCCTAGGAAAAGACCGGGAGACTAAGAGTTCCAGTTGTTATGCAGACCTCTGTCCAATCTTTAGGAACCAACTGAGCAGGGACTAGAGTGACCCCACACAACACAGAGCACAGACTTTACCAAATCAGTGCACAAAGCCACTGACAAATAAGTAATGATGACCAAAATAGTAACAGGAAATCCTGGGGGAAGGGGAAAAATTGAGTTTCAGAATTACCATGTGATTTAAAAACCTTCAGATTTTAACAACAACAACAAAAATAATTAAGAAACAGACCAAAGAAAAATGAAACAACAGAAGAAACGACCAACTAAAAGAGTATGACTAACACAGCTAATAGAGCATGGAAAATCTTCAATATGCATTTTTTAGGAAACCCAGGCATTGAACTTACTAGACAAACACTTTAAATCTGCTATTTTAAATGTGTTCCAAGAACTTTAAAAAATGTATCAGCAAATAACAAATACCAATAATGAGATAAAAACTTCCTTAAAAGTGAATTGAAATCCTGTGAAATAAAAAATAACTGCAATTAAAAGTTCATTAGAAAGATCGAGCAACTGGGCCAGGGATGTAGCTCAGTGGCACAGTGCCTGCCTGGCAAGCGTGAGGTCCTGAGTTTGATCCCTGGTACAAAAAAAAAAAAGAAAGAAAGAAAGATCAAGCAACAAATCTGAACAAATAGAAGACTTAGCACTATCAAGATTAATCAATTGAGACGACGCAATCAAGTAACAGAAAGAAGAAACAGTAAAGAAAGAAGACTCTTAGGGACACGTGGGATACCATCAAGCAGACCAACATAAGTTGAATAGAATTTGAAGAAAGAGTAAGAAAACAAACAAAAAATGAAGAAAGGATGGTCAATGCCTTTCCAAACTTGATGAAAAACATTAATCTGCATACCCAAGAAGCTCAAACAACTCAAAGTAGACATCTACATCTATACACGTAGAAAACTGAAAAGGAAAAAAACCCAAACAAACCCAAAATCCCTATGTGGGAAGAGACTCATCATATAAAAATATCCTCATTCTGTCAGGAACCACTGAGATCTGAAGACAGTGGGGAAACAAATGGGGTAAATGGGATAAAATGAGGATTGGGATGTCAGCTCCATGGTAGAAGAGGAGCTTAGCATGCCAGCATCAAAAGAACAAAAAAGGACTAGGTAACATGGATCTATTCTTAGACACTACCAAAACTGACTCAAGAAGAAAATAAATCAACAGAGAGCTATAACAAGACCTTGTAGAGTGTGTGTAAATACAAAAAAAATCTGAATTTTACAGTATACTTGGATCAAGGATTTGTCTATGAATATTTATTATTATTATGGGATGAATGCATACGTCTCCAAATTCCTATGTCAAAACCCTAACTTCCAATGTAATGATTTTAGAAGGGTTTTTAGGAGGTAATCAGGTGAGAAGAGGAATCAATATCCTTATAAAAAGGACAGACAGAGACCAGAGCTTGCTCTCTTTCCACCATGCAAGGACACGGAAAGAAGGCAGCCATATGCAACACAGGGAAGGAACTCACTAGGAACTGCATCTATCAGCAACTTGATCTTGGACTTCCCAGCCTCCAGAATGGGAGAAATACATGTACGTTGTTTAAGACACCCAGTCTATCATAATTTAATAATCTGGGTTAGAAAGTACATTAAATATGTATAGTGGAATGAAGCTAACCTAGGTCAAATAAAAGGGAAACAAAGAAGACAGGAAACAGAAGTTGGGGTAAGGCCTCAATACAGAAAAAGGTCTACTATCAATGGGAGCAGAAAGATATTTAAAAAACAACTACCATTTAAAATTAAGAATACAGTTTAGCTAGCTAGGCAAAGTGGCACATGCCCACGAGGAAGCAGAACTAGGAAAACTGCAACAAGTTCAATGCCAGCCTGAACTACATAGCAAGACTGTCTCAGAAAACCAAACCAAAAAAAAGAATAAAGAATAAAGCTTGGCTAGAAAATTATAGGACTGAGAAGTCTCACTTCTACTCATTAATCTTCATTTTCACTTCTCACAGTAACTACCATTAACAGTTTCCTATGAATCCCTCCAGAAATGGTGTAAACTGGTGTGCGTGGGCAGGTATTCTGATGCACATAATAATAAACAAGAACACTGTTGCTACCACGGGCAGTATCTGCAACCTAGGCATTATTTTCCTTAAACACAACACATCCTGAACAACATTTTAAACCCTTTTTCAAGATATTATTTAAAAATATAAATACACATTGTTTCCATTCATTTTAATGGCTGTATAGTACAGTATTTTCTAGTGTGGAGGTCACAATTCATTCAGCCAGTCTCCTACTGACTGACAATGGTAATTTACACTATGTGGTTATTAGAAACAATGATGGAAAAAAAAGTGATTTCTAAAAATGTAATAGATTTATTTTTAACACATATTTAGATTTACAGAAAAATTGAGGTGCCTACAGAAGCTTTTATATAACCTTTCACCAC